AATGCTATGTATTTCTCCACTTTATTTGTGTGTGTGTGTGTGTGTGTGTGTGTGTGTGACAGTCTTTCTCTCTCTCTCTCTCTCTCTCTCTCTCTTTGGCTTTTTGAGACAGGGCTTCTCTGTAGCATTGGAGCCTGTCCTAGAACTCACTGTGTAAACCAGGCTGACCTCAAAATCACTGAGATCCGGCTGCCTGTACCTCCTGAGTGCTGGGATTAAAGGCATCTGCCGTCACTGCCCAGCAACAGAGTCTCTTACTTAATCTGGACTTTATACATTTAGCTTTTGCCTGGTCAGCTAGCCAGTTTAAAAAATCTGCCTGTTTGCCTTCCCAGAGCTGGGATTTTGTACCATATGCAGCTTTCTTACACGGTTGTTGGGGATCCTAACTCAGGTTTTCACATTTGTGTGGCAGGCACCTAACTGACTGAACCATCTCCGTGGCTTCTATTTCATTTTTCTTGCTCTTTTTCTACACTGGAGGCTAAGTTACCCCAGGGTAGTGTCCTTGTTCACTATTGTTTCTCTGGTATTAGAGTGATATCCTGTACTTGCTGGACAATCCGACAGTCTGCCAGCTGAAGTTTGTGGGTGGCTTTTGTACAAGATAGAGCCCATTTCTGTTTTATTTTGTTTTAGGCAGGGTGTCACTGTGTAGCCCAGCCTAGCCTGAGACTCAAGATTCATCTCCCTGAATGTTCTGAGTACTGGGAATCGTAGGAGTACTCCAGTACACTTGGCCTAGAGTTTATAATCTTGGACCAAGGATGTTCCTATTTCAGTTGGTAGAGTGTTTCCTTAGCATGTGTGCATCCCCAAGCTGGAGCCCAATCACTATGTGATCTGGGCACAGTAGCAATGCCTATGGTGGAGCATTGAGAGATGAGGCAGGAAGCTCACGTGTTCAGAATCAGCCTTGGCTACATATTGAGTTGCAGGCTAGCCTGGGGTCCATGAGAGCCTCTCTCTAAATAATAAAAATAAATGACAGATAGATGAAAGTCTGTGGTGCTGTGGGGTGCGGAGGCTGGAACGCCTTTTCCTTTTCTTTATTTTTCAAAGAGAGCTTCTCATTGCACTGCAGATCCCAGACGAGCCTGAAACTTCTTTTCTCAGTGCTGGAGATCAAGATCAAAACCTTGAGCACACAAGGTAAGTGGCTTTACCGCTGAGTATAAGAGCAATAAGAGGCTGTCAGCATATCCAGGAGGGAGATGGTGGCCTGAGCTCTCCGGTCACAGCTGCATGAAGAGATGCAGGCAGAGCTCAGGCTAAAGCGGACTGACTCCTTGTGCTGGAGGGTGAGGTGCTGTGCACTTTCTGGCTTGGGCCACTGAGCGGTGCCATTCCCTGACTCTCCACGCCTCGTACCCCATCTCCAAACTCAGAACCATTCCCACAGGCTCCACAGCCTCCCGAGTGACTCTGCTGAACTTCTACTATTTCTGTTGTACCCCATCTCCAGACTCAGAACCATTCCCACAGGCTCCACAGCCTCCCGAGTGACTCTGCTGAACTTCTACTATTTCTGTCCCCAGAGCCTCTACGTTTGTCTACTCTTTCCTTTCTTCCAGTTTTTCTTCCTTCCAAATGAAATTGAAGCCTCGTCTAGATAGCCTATTTCTTGTCCCTGTTTTTCTAGCATTCCCTGAGTCACTGTACACTGCTTTATAATCTGACTGGGAGCTCAGCAGAGAATTAGGATATGGCTGGAGCAGTGGTGACACACACCCTTAATTCCAGCACTTGGGAGACAGAGGCAGACAATCTCTGTGTTTGAGGCTAGCCTGCTCTACAGATTGAGTTCCAGGGCAGCCAGGGCTACAAAGAGAGACCCTGTCTTGAAAAACAAAAACAAATAAACAAGAAAAGAATAAGAATGTCGGATTGGAGGTTCAGCTCAGTGGTAGAGCACTTGCTTAACGTGTTCAATATAGTACTAAAAAGGAAACAGTACCACCCATAGCAAAACAAACACAACAGCCCTAAGGGTCTTCCCGCAGAGGCCAAGACAGAGTATGACTCAAGCAAGCTACCAATGAGTGTCCCAGGCAACCCAAAGACTCTGAGACCTAACGGACAGGAGAACGGGTCCGGGTTAGTCAGTAAAGGGCATTACAGACATATAGTGATGTGCTGTAACTTAGTTACATCTTCTTCAGGTCAGGATGGCAGTGGTCACCCAGTGAAGGTCAAAGGGCCAAGGGGAAGAAGTCTGCAGCAGTCTGTGAGATTCAGGTAGAAGACAGATTTGAGGAGCTGTGAGGAAAGAGAGGAGGGGATCGCTTGGCAGCCAGGTGTAAGGATGGCCCATCCCTGTAGCTCAGAGAGCGAAGGGCAGGAAAGACAGCCATGAGACCAGTCCACTCACCCCTCATGTGAGCCCAGGGGAAGATTACCGCCTAGGCCTACAGGACAAATGCGAAAGCCGTGTATCACACAGCTAAGGAGCCTTTAGAGAAATAGGTTCTTGCCGCTGAAGCTGTCAGTGTGAGTTAACTTCCCAAAGCCATATGGCAGGCAGCAAGAGAGACCTGACTCCTGAAAGTTGTCCTCTGGCCTCCACATGTGCACCAATGCAGGCACACACTCCCCGTTACCCACCCACTCCCAATAAATAAAAAATGGAAAAGAAAAAACAATTAAAGAAAGCATTCCTAGCTTACTGATGCACACATCATGCCAACTTGAAGGCTTTCATTTAGGATTCTGGAATCCCCCCAGCCCTTTGACTCTTGGGTTTGCATTCCATTCCTTCTTGGACAGAAGTATGTGCTCAATGTAAGCACATCTGAATGTCCTCCACTCTGGCCAATAGGGCCAGGCTATGCTCTCAGGATCTCTGGAAATGAGCTCCCAGCTGCTAGACAGCAGAGATTTTGATAACTCTATAATGGTCCTGAAGTGGGGGAGTATGAGCTGAGTGGACCGTTCACTTGGCCTAAGGTTATCCTCACAGTGAAGAGGCCTCCTCAGACAGATGCCAGGGTACTTACTCTCTCTGGCCATAGACCTGGTTAACTCTGTGCCGATATTTCATTTCTTCTTCTTTGAACCTCGGCTTTCTTACTTGCAAAATAGGAATGGTAAACCCGACCTAACAGTTATTATGAACATTAAATAAACGAATACACATAAAAACCCTGCTATGGGGAGCAGCTGAAGTTCTGAGTGAGTGTGTCTTCTTGGCAGCAGCTCATCAAGTCCAGACCATGGAAATGGCAATGCCCTCCGCAGGGAGGCTCAGAGAAATGGAAAGTCTTCCTCTGGTCCAAGTATGAGTATGCAAAAACTAGCAACTGCAGTTTTCTCCTCTGTGAGGACTGTAGCTCAAGACTGCATACAGAGCTGTCCCCTGCAGAGTCCACCCACCTAGGTCACATAACCCTTCCTCCTCATGCCATATGTAAGAAAAGTCCTGAGTTCCCAGTGGGCAATAGATCCCCATCCGAGCTTTTCTGTCTGTGTGTCTGTCATTCTTTTACATACACACACACACACACACACACACACACACACAAACAAACACACTTTTTTTTTTATGTGCATTGGTGTATGTCTGTATGAGGGTGTCAGGTCCCCTGAACCTGGAGTTACAGGCACTTGTAAGCTGCCACGTGGATGCTGGGAATTGAACCAGGATCCTCCGGAAGAGCAGTCAGTGCTCTTAACCACTGAGCCATCTCTGCAGCCCCTGTGTCTATCATTCTTGAGTAGCCCCAGTAAGGTTTCCAGGACTCAACACACTACACAAGTCTCATCCCCGCCTAGATCCTATACTTCCCTCAGACTAACTATGGCAAGATGAGGGGGAGAGGAGTTTTTCTTTTTCTTTTTCTTTCTTTCTTCATAATTATTTTATTTAACATTTTTTAAAATTTATTTATTTTTATTTATGTAGGTATGTGTGAGCCTGTGTTGTACATCACATGTCTGCAGTACATTTTTTGATTTTTTTGTTCTTAAGTTAAGACTATCTTAAAGGAGAGTATCTGGAAATAAAGAAACACATTTTAAAGGAAGACAACAATAATCTAGACATCAATAATCCCAGCGCAGACTGGAGCCATGTGGGAGAAGGAGGCAAAGTGGCGATAGTGCAGCGGCACAGGACATAATTGCTTTTACAATCTGTGTGCTTTGCAGAGGGTGGCAGCTGGCTATTGCTTTCATTCTTGCTTTTCAGATTAAGATAGAGTATGATAATCTAAAATATGCAAATACAAGCATCATTTTTTTAAAAAACTTGGTGTGTGTACAGGTGTAGAATGTTTGTGTGCATATGTGGTGTGTGTGTGTGTGTGCATGCACACATATGTATGGATGTGTGTGAAAGTTGTGTACGGTGTTGTGTATACATGTGGTGTGTGTGTACGCACACCCTCACATGTGCTATAGTGTGCATGCAGAGGTCATAGGGCAATCTCAGGTGTTGGTCCTTGCTTTCCAGCTAATTTGGGATAGTCTCTTTGTTGTCCCCTGCTTTGTATGTCAGGCTAGCAGGCCTTCATGGTGGTTTTTCTGCCTTTGCCTCTCAATTTTTCATAGGAGTTCTGGGATTGCAGACACAAGCCATTGCATCTGAATTTGTGTGGCTTCTGGGGATCTGAACTCAGGCCCTCACACTTGTGCAGCAAGCACTTTACTGAGCCATATCACTAGCCCATCCAGTGACCAGGAACACAGAAAAGCATATGGTTTTCAAACACCTGGATCCTGTTTTCAAGCTTACTGCTCCTGCTGATGCAATGTTCTGTCTCCTACACACTCCAAAGTCTGTTTAGATCCATTGCTTTTACATGAGCATCCTGGCCCAGCATGGATCCTGTTTCCTGAGCTCTTTCCTAGTCTTTATGTTTTAGATCTCTCTCTCTCTCTCTCTCTCTCTCTCTCTCTCTCTCTCTCTCTGAACAAGTCTCACTATACGGTCCTGGCTGGCCTAGTATGTAGACCAGGCTAGCATCACACTCAGAGATCACCTGCCTTTGCCTGTGAAGTGCTCGGTTTAAAGGTGTGTGCCACCACACCTGGAAGAACTTACGTTTTTAGACTTATTTTATGTGTATGAATGTTTTGTCTGCATGTATACGTGTGCACCACATGTGTGTCTGGTGACTGCAGAGGTCAGAAGAAGGCGTTGAATCCCCCTGGAACTGGAGTTACAGACTGTTGTGAGCCACCATATGGGTGCTGGGAATTGAACCTAGGTCCTCTACAAGTGCAATAAATGCTCTTAACAATTGAGTCATCTCTTCAGTTTGGGCATATTTTCCTATTGTTTGTTTGTTTTGGCAATGTTGAATATTGAACCCAGGATCTTAAACATGTCAGTCAAGTGCTCTCCCACTGAGTTATAACCCCATAACATATAAGACCATATCTGCCTGATAGTCTAAATGTGTTCACTTCTTCTATTATTCTTTCTTTTCGTGTGCACAGATTCACAGTGGGAATTTAACCTTATTAAAGGCAGCATGTATCCAGTTCTAGCTAATCAGAAATCTGAGATGGGAAGGTCCCTTGAGTTTGGGAGTTCAAGCCAGATTGAAAAACATAGCTAAACCCCATCTTAAACAAAAACAAACAAAAAGAGATATATAGACTTTGGATCTGATTTATTTTTGTATGTATTTTTATTTTTATGTTTTTATAATAAAGTTTATTTAAAATAATAAGTAAAAATACATGTATAATAAAAGGGGGCCTGGAGAGATAGCTTAGTAGTTAAGAGCCCTGGTTGCTTTTGCAGAGGACCAGGCTCTGTTCCCACCATCCACATAGTAGCTAACAACCGTCTGTGACTTCAGGTCCAGGGGATATGATACCCTCTTCTGGCCTACTTGGGTATCAGGGACACATGTGACACACATCATACATGTAGACAAAGCACTATTGCATATAAAATAAATCCTTAAGAAAAAAAGGCAGGAACTATATTTCTAATTTGTTTCTACTTTATTCTTGTAGTGTTCATACAATAAATATGTTTATAAACATGCATTTACACAATAAATGTGTTTCTGTGTGCCTGAACCACAGTAGAGCCTAGGGATACAAGAAAATGCCACTGAGACTGGGCATGATGATGCATGCCTTGAATTCCAGCACTCGGAAGGCAGAGGCAAGAGGATCTCTGAGTTCTAGTTCAGCTT